AGCAACGAAACGTATCGAATCCTGTAGCAAATAAAAATCTCTCATCTTTGATATCGAACTTTTGTGTCACATATTTGCATCGTGTGATATTTCAGGTTGCGTAGCTGTTAAATCCATCCTCGGAAATGGAAGATGTCAAAAAATGTGAAACATTTATTTCCAATCGCGTTAAATTGGGACCACCCAACAGGCAGCCTCCCGCTGGAAGCCGTTCATCTGCTTCTACTCGAATCCATAAGCTACCCTAACCTCAAAACTCGTTTCGCCCGCGACGCATAACCTCAATTTGCATAACCTCGATTCGAGCTTTTCATCTCCCAAAGGACCTGGGGTTCGTGGGCCGATATGCATAATTAAAACGTTTACGTGATAAGTAGAGTCTCAGTGTAGCGTGGCGTTAATGAACGGCCGTGTCGAAGTCACCGGACGATTGTGATCGACGAGATTGGCCGATAACAAACTGTCATGGCGGCGATCAATCATCGTCTCACGGGGACAGCACGTGCGCAGTCCGGAAAAGTCCCTAGATCCTTGTCGCGGTCGTTTAATCGTCGCGATAATTAATCGTCACCATGGTCGGGGGTTTACCGGTCCGAGTAACAGCTTGGAACGAGTCAATTGTCGCCCCACTCGAAGAAATAATTAGAAACATACGGGGCAACGAAGGTTGTTTCAAAGGAAATTACACAGGGGCGGAATTCCGGCGATCGGAATGACGTTTAATCGATACGGCTCGAATAAATTAATGCACCGTGCACGAAGATAGCGAATCAATTAAATTACTGTTATCCTGAAGAGGATCAGGGTTTCATTACCGCACGGTATCGAGTCAGGTGTAATTTATGAACCAAATTACCGTTTAGAATCGTTAGGATCCAATGTTATCAGAATTTCATTCGTTCCGCGCCGAGACCTTTAGGTATTTTATCGTTGACATTTCTCACTAGAGTTCTTTTCTAGGGATATGTCCTCTAGTAAAACATCCAGCCAATAGTGCTCGTTATATTGGTTGTTACGATATTAAAATTTGATAAACGATATTCAGTAATTCTAACTGCACCTATTAACTTAAATTTGAATAATAATCTACAATTTGAAAGAAACATTATTTTTACCATATTTTTACATTCCACTATTTTTACCATACTTTGTGAAAAGAAGATAACTACAAATGATTAGAAACAGAACAATTTCATTTGTAAAGTAATTCATAATAATAGTGAATTTCACTTTGATTGCTCATCAATTTGTCGCGGGAAGAAGTCCCTAGGCGGAAGGGAATAATTTATTCGAAAGGTACTAGACTTCGTCTCAAGTTCTCCTGACTTTCCTGAAGCAGCAGGACTCGACGAACAAAGGATTTTCACGAACTGTTAAACTCGGATCAATAAATCCCCTCTCTTTATCACTTCGCGTGAAGTTGGCCGCCCAGCACGGACGCTGTGCGTCGAAAAATGTCCGTCATCACGTGATTACAGGCTAACGACGGTGATCAGCTAAAACGCGCGCTCTCGTAACAATGAAACCGATCGCTTTTTAATCTAGTGGCAAACTCGCTCCGGCCCGTATATTTACAAACGTATTTACAATCCGTGAGCTGATATGAGAAAAAGTGAAAGAGAAAATACGCCAATGGACCGTTCTTCGATCTACGGCTCGGGAAGCTTCGATCACGATCCAGTGACGCGAGTCGACCAAAATTTTGGAAGCAATACGAATCTCAAAGAACAAAATCGATATTTATTTTCAAATTAACCTAAATGTTTGTATATAACAATAAACCTTGCAAGGAAGCAATAGATGAAACTTTAAACAGTTGGTAGAGTTGTAGGTAGACACTGAAATAGGTTATGTTACCTACTTTGTTTCTTTTTTTGAAAAATAGTGAAATAAATGATAAATTCGTCAAATTAGGTGTTTTCAAGTGAGATCTAGGTTGTAATAAAGAAACTTCTAACACTAATGCTTCCAAATTTTTCGTCGATTTTAACACATGTGAACGTTCACACGTATGGAACGGTTTCGAGTGCTTTTCGTATTAGTTCTTTATTTACAAATCGACTTAATCGTATGGCAGAAGACTTCGGATAAGCGGCTACGACGATATTTACAGAAAGCTGGTTCACGAGGTTCGATTGATCACTTCCCTGTCGAGACAACTGACGGACGTGTCTTAGATAGAACCGCGTGCGTAGGTAAACAATCATAATGGTTGATTCCCATGTTCTAGATGGACTATTTTCAAATCAACAATTGTCATCGACACCCGAAGACTGAATTCAGAAAATTCTTTCTTTGGAAAATATCTAGTAAACTGTATTAGGTTGTACCACATAAAATTAAAGACTTTACTAATATATCTAACATAACCTATACTATTACCCACAACATGTGGAGAATGTCTTGGAAGTGATCATTTATTTTGAGAAGTAACTGAGACTTACAGAACAGTGTTATAAAGAGGAAACAGATGTACTAAATCATACATTTTAATTAATCAGATCTTAATTTAAAGATTTGCGAGGATTTATAAAATTTTCCTCTTTTATAGCGAAATATTTATTGATGACGATAATATATAATTTGCATATTCGTTGTACGTTCTTTGTAGCTGAATACGAAGAGGATATATGAAAGTTAAATTTATTATTTCAAATGGAATCATGTATTCTTTAATGCAATCGATCCAATCTGAACTTTCATGTGCACAATTCCCACTTTAATTTGCATGTAATTGACTGTGATATTATCATATTCAGAATATCTTTTATAACTTAAATCTGTTTCTAAAGAATAAATAGGCACGAAGAACGTATAGAATTACAGAACGTTAAATTTTATATAAATGAAACCTTCCACTTGCTATTTCCTTAAAGGAAAAAGCGATTAATGTCAACGAAGTATATTTTGAACAATAAAAATAGCTGTTCCGAAAACGTATCGTGCTTATTTGAATATATAAAAGAGTATAAAAGAGTAATTATTCCGTGTGGTACAGCCCAATAAAAGTTTCAATAAAGTGAGGTTAATTTCGGTTAGGCGAGTTGGAAACGCTGAAGGAATATTGGTTAGGTTCCATTGTGACCTGTAATCTTTTATATCCTTATGAAAACCGACTTCGAATAAATATTAATTTCGGACAAAAGAGGTAAATTCAGAATAAGAAACTTCCGAGGAACTTGAATCGATCAAAGTATTCGGAAACTTGGGAAATTAAATTTGTTCTATCCAAGACGAGATTATCGATGCGCCTCTTCAGAAGAAGTGCACTCTCTGTAAATCTCGCAAGTTTCCTCGTTTGCAGCGCGTGCTCTTCGATTTCTCTCGACGCAACTTTTTCGAAACGTTCGCTCCCTTATTTCTCCGTAAATTGTCCGAAAAATTCGCCAACTTTTCACACACTAGATGTCCGAGAAGCGCTATTTATGGTTCCAAGCTTTCAAACACCGAAGGCTTCCCGCGCATTTCTTTTCCAAGATGGCGGGAAAGCAAAGTCGTGTCCCGGGGATCCCCCTCGAATCTCCATTCTCCGTTCCATCTCGTTTCTCGCCTCGTTGAAAGCTTCGAATCTCAGACGGAAACTGCTCCTGTAGCAACTCGAATATAGAATTTATTACGACGTTCGTTCATTTTTCTTTTTCCTTCCTTTCTCTTTCGAACCTTCTCTTATTTTCCAGAATTCTTTTAAATATCGTTCAATTTACGCATTAACATAGTCTCGATTGACTGTTTTTATACCTCGAAACACGCTTCCGGTCACTCGTCGTCGCGATATCACAATTTTTCTTAGTGCACTAAACAATTAAAACATCCGCGAAATAGTTCGCGGGTTCACAGTTCGTTAACTTATATTTACAGACGTCGCAGGTCTCGTCGAACCTTTTTAATCGTACAAAATGACCACGCCGGAAAACAATGCCGCGTGAAACTTTCGTTTGAACCAATGCAAAACGCGACAGGAAACTTCAAATAAAAAGTCGAAACTGGAAAGGGAACTGTATCCAACTCGACCCTCTTTTTACTTTTTTCCTTACCTTTTCCTCTCATTTCTCCCTGTTGCGAATTTTGAACGCAGGAAATTTCAACCGAATGTTGTTTATTGCAATCGGAGATGCGAGCAGAATATAACGCCCGGTCAAAAGTTTCCGAAATAAATCGTGAAAATAAATTCGATGAAAATGGATTTAACCGGTTTAAAGCGAAATTCAATTAGGATCATTTACTGTCAATTGATATCGGAAAGGTAAATTGAGGAGAAAGGTGTATTTCGCAGCTCGAGTTTGCGTATCTGCCGGTTCCAATTAAAAAATTAATTGGGAGGAGGAAGGGGATGAAAAGTTCGTTTGGAACGTTTCTTCCGTGTATTGTTAGAGACAAATTGAATAAAGAGAAACAGGAATTCAGGGTCGATTAGAGTGTTTTTGATTGGAACTTACAAATAGAATCAACGAGAGAAAGTTTCTCTCGAACTTTCTAGAAATAACGTACCAGATGGTGTAGGAAAAGAGAGGACAGAGAGGGCTATTCAGGAAGGTACCGAACGAAGGAAGAAAATACAACAAAAACGAGATTAAATTAAAACAAAAACAGTACTGATTATGCTTCCCACGTTATTTTTAACAATATTTAAACCTTCGATCCTAGAGGAACATAAAAATTCCAGTTTGAGAGCTGCCACCAGGGAATTTCTCTTCCGTTGGCAACAAGTTCTAGTTACTTTTACTGAAGAAAAATTTAATTCCACCACCGATTTAATTTTAAATCCGTGGCAGAGTGCTCAAAAAATAAAAAGAGAAGGAGGGAGTAAAAACGAGAGTGAAATTAAAAATTGGAGATAAAGTTCCACTAATACGCAGTTACGGAAAGAAACGAGCACCAAATTCCCTAGCATTGCACTTTCTCGAACAGCATGTTAGACAGCCAGGTCACTTCACGCTCCACGTTATGTCCAAGTAACTAGAAGACTTAAATTCAAACAGCTCACAGAACCAGACCCATCTTTAAACCGTGACTTCCTCAGAGAACGTGTTTTTATCGTCCAGATTGATGACTATAGCGTGCGTCCTCGCGTGGCCAGATTTGCTCTTGCTCTTGTCTCGCTCCCTAACCTCACTTTCTCTGTCATCGTGCTTCGTTTCCGTTGCGACGTCCTCGGTAGCCGGCTTGCCGGAAGTGGAGACTGCCACGTCGCTGGTCCTCGTTGACTTCTTCGTTTCTATGGAAACGAACACCTCGGCCTCCTTCGAGGAGCCCTGATCCTTGCTTCTGATCCCATTCTTCTCCAGGCAAGCTTGACACCTCTTCTCCTCCTTAATCTCTCCACCTGATAACACGTTCATTCGTCCGCGTGTCACGTGATTTGTTCGAAGTTTTTCGCGCGGGACAGTGGAACAGAGAGTGCAGGGTTCTCTTTGTGAATGGAGAGAGGCGCGAAAGATGCTTGGTGAGATTGAGGTTAGGTCGTACGTCTTGCGTTAGAAATGAATCGCTAATTGAAACAAAATGTCAAGCGGAATACACACTTGGTGTGAGAGATATCGGAGGTTAGGAATTTCGTGTTGTACAGGTCGATGCAAAAATGGAACGCTCATTTCTGTTATGGCAAATAGATACATTTTTCTAATTATAAAATTCGATCTTCTATGAGATACGTTTATTATTTTAGATTTAAAGGATTTTTGGGCATTGAAATATTTGTGATGTCACTTTTGAATTGCCTTGTACGAAATTTTCAAATTAATAAATTTAAATTGTTGAAAGGTGGATTATGTTTGTAATTAGGATATTTGGACTCTCCTGTGTATTTTGTATTGTATTTTGTTGCGAGAGTAGAGTATGCAAGTAGTTGTCTGTGAAAAGATTTGATTACCTTTTGGGCCAGCTTCGCTTTTGTATGACCCCCCAACATCCGTTTCAGCGATTGTCATAGATCCGTTAAGATCGTTCAGTCTCATGCTGGAGGAGATAGCCTGAATCGTTGATACCTGTGTTTCCACGCGACTCGCGACTTCCTGCATTGCCACGAGCTTGTTCACCAGGTGATGATTACCGAGCAAAACATTTTTCTCCTTCAGAACTTCCAGCTGGTTGATGAGTCGACGGAATTCCTCCTGAAAATTCGTATAGAAAGAAAGGAAGATTTTAACAACAATAAACCTTCTAACTGGTAAAGAAAATTTTAGTGGAAAATATATAGGGAATGTGAAGAAAGGATGAGGGAAAGGACAGACTATTTACAAATTTAAATCTTCCATTTTTTAAAATATTCAAACCATACAATTTAGGTCATTAATTATGATTTATAAATTCTCTAGAAAGTGAATTCTAGGGGATATAAAATCACAGTCACAGTTATATTTAGATTTGAAATATTTCCTAGACTAGTAACTTATCCTTACGTATACTTTAATGTTTTTCTGCAGAGATTAATTGTTATTATATTTAAGTCATTTCCAATATTTCAATAGCATGGTACTCCAAATGAAAATTTATTGATTTAGAGTGGAGAAAAAATTCACATAATCGAAAATTGGAAAATATTTTTTTCCGTAAGAGAATTTGGTCATTTTGCATTTTTTATATGACCTTACACATTTTCTCAATCATTTCCCAATCATTTGGCCTAAAAATAATTCAGTTACTATCTATTAATTTAAATAGCTTTACCACTCGCGCCAGTGTAATCACTCGATGCCTTTAAAATCGGGCTTTTTCTCAGGCTTTCTAACTGGATCATGTAAAGCTCGAAGCTTTCACCAGTTTAATTGGCGATGCACAGTTTTCAGTGTAATCGTTAACCCAAATTCTTCGTTCACGATCGTTGAACATGGGGCATACAATTGTTCTTGTCTGCCTTAAAGTTGTAATTGTTGAACAAAAATTGTTTCCCTTCCTCCTCTTTTAAAAATACATAGACAATACGAATATACCTGAAGAAAAATTGGAAATGTTAATAAAATTATACAGGTTTCAAAATTGGACAATTTCTGGAGAAAATAAATAATCCATTTTAGACCATTATTAAATTCCATTAAATTCCATTTTTCAAAAATTAAATTTTGTATAGAAAAAAGGATAACTCTGAATCTTCTCTGTTGAATCACCAATTAGACTAAAATCCAACGTCAAAAATGGAAAATGAGATTTCTGCTGTCATAACCTATAATTCTTTCAGTATGATCTGTTTTACTCTTTCAAAATTGATACATCTGTTTCCAAGTAAATGAACATGAACGAATGAACCATTACAGATTGATATGCAAGTTGGTTCTTCTAGAAAGAAATTCGCCAAGATTCTTCATCGGAGTTTCTAACTTCTATTTACGTAGTGCAGCGACATCTGGTGTAGTAAAACGAAAGTTTTCAGCTTCTTTCCTCTGTGCTTCATTGGAGGCCATGTTGTTCGTTGTTCCTAATTTTATGTAACCTGTTAGTTTCTTTCCACAGTATTCACAGAGAAATTAACCCAAGTTTAACTGCATCAGTAGTAAATCGGATTCTCTAATGTCGATATCATAATTAACGGAGCATAGTGGCCTATTAATCGGCTTTTCGTACAATGGGGCTTGACGGTTCCATGGCTATTAATCGGTATTTGCTTGCATGGTGCTTCGATATATGGTGCGTTTCAGTATACCAGCTAGGCGTAATCGGTTTAGAATAACTTTTTAATTGAAGAAAATAACGCTGCACAGAAAATTACATATGACGCTAACATAACCTCAAATAATATTTTTTCACAATTTGTTTCGTTACTTTCTAGTCGTATAGAATATGGCATTCAGAGGAATTATATCATACGAATGAACTATAGTAATAGAAGTGTCTTATTTTTATGCAATAGGAATATATTATTTTTATAACAATGGAATGTTATAATATTTCATAGTAATAAAAGTGAATTATTTTGATAAATGAATACGAGGACTGTTACTGAATATTGTTTCAAATATATCCTTTCTTCCTAAGCAATATTTTATTTAAAAATTTATAATTATTGCTAAGAGCGGTATTTAAATAAATTTTCTTTTACTACTAGGATAGCAACAATTTCTTCAAGAACTGTGGACTAATTTATTAATGAACTCATTGAGCATTTTCTCCAATTTTTCTCGGTGCTTTAAAAAGCTGACTTCTGTTTCAGAGTTCCTTTTTCTCTTTTGGTTTCCTCTAAATTATCTCATGCGTGTCATGAAACCTTCGCCACAAGTCTCGGAGTACTTATTGCAATATTTCAAAGACACTTATAAAATAAGAAAATTTACAAATGAGCAGCACCATGATGAAAATTCTCAGTAACGTAGCAACGATTTCTAAAAATTTATACTGAATAGAAATTGTATAAAAAATTATATTCACAATTTCAGTACAATAAACAAAACCAATCATAAAAAAATTAATTTAGTCAAAAATAAAAATATTATTATAAAAGAAAAATATAAATAATAAATAAATCTTTATAAATATTATAAAAAGATTAATTCAGTCGATATTTGAAAAAAAATTTCTCTTTTTAATAACAATGCCATATATAAAATATGTAGAAATAAATAATTTTGTAGCTCCTATTAATCCCTGTAAACCAAAAGTTGGCAAGCCTGTAGCAAGCTGACGTAATGAGCGTGCAGGCTGCCTAAAAGCAGGGATTTAGTGTCGTGTATACTAAGGTATGAAAGGGGGAGCATCCGACCTGTAGAGTTCGATAACGGCATATTAGTCGGTCCTGTGAAAGCGGAGCCGCAATTAATAGAGGATCAAGTGGTAGCAGGCTCAATAGGCTTTCACCCCTGCACGCCTTTGGCCAAAGGAAGTCACTAAAGCGTTCTACCGGTGCAAACGGATGGGTGTGAAGTTTACCCGTTGCATTTTGCGCGTCTGCTTCCCAGGAACACGGATACCCTTGGTACCAAATGAATCATACAGTAATCTGGCTATTAACACACCAATTTTTGAATTCTTATTAACCTACCCGGACTATCCTCTATATTATTTTAGATATGAAAGCTTTGTAACAATTGGAATAATACCTATTGCAATAAAGATCTAGGGATTTTTTTGTTAAGTAAAGAATTATCGAGACTTCCTCAGAATCATAATTATATTGGGATAAGAATCTAGAAGCTTTATTTTAATAATAAAAATACCATGGACTGTTATAATATTTTTAGAAAAGAAAATCGCAAATCGGCAAATGCCAATGCAGGATCTTGTTTTAGAAAAACAAATCGAAAATCGACTGATACTCATACAAAAAGCTATATCTAGAAACGAGCTAGCTGAGTTGCGTGGTTTTTACAGGGGGTCAAACGCAAATCTGCGGAATCGTAATCCTCATAGAGAGCGAATCGCGAATCGGTAAGCGTCCTTACAATAATGGACACCTTTTTGCCCAAAAATGTAATACGTGAATGAAAATTCAGAGGCTTTTAGAAACGAGGAGATGAATATTAGGGAGATTTTTCTAATACCACAATTAAAGGAAAAGTGGTTTTTAATTTTTCTACGCAGCATTGCGAAGGTAACCAAAAGCATGAAATCAGCAAGGTTAGTCTCATGCATGCGGATGCCTGTGATCGAGGTAGTGAAACGAGCGTTACAAATTACATCCGTCAGAGGCAACACTCTGCAACGAACGTGTCAAACGGTAGGCTATAATCAGTAGTCAAATGTCAAAGCAGCCGAGTTTCACAGACCATGCCTTTCAGGTCGACGCAATTTTCCCGGCTTTTTGCCAACGCCCTGGCAATCTTGGCCGCTGCAAAAGCTTTCACGGATGACATTTGTACGTCGCGGACGGCCATTTTCGCGCGCCACCTTTTGTCTGGGCCAACACGACCGAGTTTGGCTTTGAGAAATTCCCTGAAATCAGCAAGATGCAACTTCCAGTTCGCCGATCGCGATTACAGGATAACGTTTGCACGAACGCGAGACCCATTAACTTGACTAATACAGGTTATGTTCAAATCACGAAGTTTTTCTTTCGTCAGACACAGACGAAACATAAATTACGAAGAGGTTAGGTTTGAATCAAATATGGTGTACGTGCTTTAACAGTTCCTATAGAGGTTATGTAGCTAACCATACATTATGTGTACGTTCATATGAATTATGTGTAAGTTGCACAGAAGTAAAATATAGGTTATGTAATGTTTCCTATAGATTGTGCGAATATTATGAATTATGTGAAGGTTATGTATATTATTTTATGGACTATCTAAGTATTATAAACAGGAATTATGTGAAAGTTATGTATATGTAAAATATAGGTTATGTACCATTTTTTATGGACTACCTATTATAAACATGGATTACGTGAAGGTTATATAATATGTAAAATATAGGTTATGTATGGCTTTCTGTGGATTATATAGATATGAATATGCATTGTGCGAAGATTATACATAGGCGAAGTATAGGTTATGCATAATTTTCTACAAATTATGTGAAGATTATGAAGATGTATCAAGTGAAGGTTATATATAGGTTCAGCTTATAAACTTCTGAAACATAATTCGTGTATGGGTTTTTGGAGCTATGAATAGCTTGTACATTAAATATGATTACCTACATATATATTAAAGATGTACAGATATATAATATGGAGGACACTGAAAAACACCTTGAAGTTTCCGAAGAGTCGTCAATGGAAGTTCGCGTCTACTTACTCATGACTTCCCAACGACGATACCGACGGATAAGACAAAACGGCGCACGCTGAATTGAGTCCTTTAATAAGCTTATGGGGTATTAGGTTGGGTTTACTAGTATAACTTTCATAGCCTCCTTAACCGTCTCTTAGAAACTTCATTAGGATGATCTGCTTGTTAAGCGGATTTCCTGTAAGGTTACACTTTACGGGGCCCATGAAAAGAAACAATTATTTTTAACGATGATCTCTGTACACGATATCACAACTGATGGGACTAATATCGACTTGACGAGCAAGAAGCTAACCTAAAAATAAATCTAACATCTGTTTCTTGTCTCGTTATTTTATTACATGATAAATATCCCATTCAAAACATTGTTGTACATTTGTCGTATTTATGTATAAATTGACAAACATTAGGTTAAGTTAAGTTAGGTTAAGTTAGGTTAGGTTAAGTCCGAAAGCTGTGAGTAGACGAGGTTAGGTTTGAAAGACAGGATTTGGAGAGGTTAGGGTTGAGAGACAAAGTCAGATGAGGTTAGGTTTGAAAGACAAAGTTAGATGAGATTAGGTTCGAAAGACAAGATTAAATTAGGTTAGATTTCAAAGCCTTCGCTGAAATAGGTGCTGCAAAATGCACTCTCATCGTTTATGCAATGCATATTCGACACTGGAGATTAAGGTTAGGGTTCCGATGACCAAAATTATCGCGAATGGAAAAAGCGGCACCGCAACGGCGTTTAGATTGGATACACATTAATTAGTGAGACCTCTGGGTCCACTCAAGAGAATAGAGCGTTAACACAATGCGGTGTGCTCCGTGCATTATGTTCCGTGCATTATGTGCAGCGTCCATGTTGTTGGACACCTTCCCATCTCAGTTGCGCCATGGTATGTAGGTCATCGTGGCATTTTTGTGGTGGAGATTTCGTTGAAAATCCGACACTACATCCCACTTTTCTCCCAAAAATATACGATGTCTTTGAAAGACATTCTCCATATAGGAAAAAAGAAGACAAAAAAGAATGGATGAGATTTGAAAGATGAGGTTAGGTTAGGCTAGCTTTGAAACATAAAGTTAGATTAGATTAGCTTTAAAACAGGAGGTTAGGTTAGGTTAAGTGTTATAGACGAAGTTAGACTGTATAATCTAATTGGAAATTCTTTGTCTTCCATTAAAACTGAATCATTTCATACGATGTCTTTAAAAGACATTCCCCATATAGGAAAAAAGAAGAAAAAAAAGAATGAATGAGATTTGAAAGATGAGGTTAGGTTAGGTTAGCTTTGAAACATAAAGTTAGATTATATTAGATTTGAAACATAAAGTTAGATTAGATCAGCTTTAAAAGAAGAGGTTAGGTTAGGTTAAGTGTTATAGACGAAGTTAGACTGTATAATCAAATTGGAAATTCTTTGTCTTCCATTAAAACTGAATCATTTTCTTGTAATCGTGACTGTTTTCTATATTTTTTTATATCTACTCGACTTTTAACCCTTAAACCTCGACACGTTTTTAGGTTAGGTCATGGAATCTCTTTCAACTTTGACAGTATCAGCATTTTCATGAAATTCTGCGTTTCGATCGGTTGACTGGAATGGTCGAGAGATGTTAATGACGGTGCTGTGGATTTAGAGGCCGATAATTTCACTCGATTATGGGCAGAATTAACGGCTCACGAATCGTAAATGACGCTCAGATTGTACGAAATGTTGAGCTTGATTATCGACAATCTGTTGAATATATAATTACGAAAATATTCGTTACCAGAGGGCGATGTGAAAGGATGACACGTTTCAATGTGAAATTTCGATTAATCGATTAATACTCATTTGTTATTCACTTGCTGGGTTTGTCATTAACGACGTACAGATTCCAGAACGCGAAAGGTAATCCGTCACACTTTGTTTATTACGTAGGAAATCACAGCGCCTGATATATAGTACCAATACGTGTCAAGAATGTATAGCCATGTGGAAGCTGTAAAATTCGCGTTGAACAAGTCAATAGTGTGACCCAGGTATAAGAGAAAAGTATTGAAAGAAGGTTTTAAGTATTTGAGGAGTGATCGTGTATCGAACGAAAGAGATAGAAAAATAGAGAGAGAGAGAATATTCAGATATTTCGAATAGAAATAAAGTTGAAATTTTTAGTCTAAACTGAGTATCAGAATATTTAAGAAGGAAAAATATAAGAGACCTTGATTGATATTATCAATGATAAAATATAAACTATAATAAAGCAAGCATCATATAATTATTACTTTATTAATAAATTATTTTTCAGTTTAGAATTTTATGAATTATAAAACCTGTCATTAACGTAGCATTTCTACAACTATTGTATAATATAACTCATTGCACATTATACCTCTATATAGTATCACAGTATATTAATATATACTGTACTAGTATAGTAGTATATTGTAGATTAGACAGATACGTAGATTTAATATAGTTTATTAGGATAGATTCTAGTATACAATATAATACTGTAACATGTATATATTAATATTATACCTCTATATAGTATCACAGTATATTAATATATACATGCTACAGTATTACATTGTATACTAGAAACTATCCCAATAAACTCTATTAAATCTATGTATACCATAATCTACAATATACTACTATACTAGTACAGTATATTATAGTATGATTTAACTTCGTGTAATTTATTTGAGCACTTTTTAGTAGCAAGTTTTTTTAAAACAAAAGCATAAAAATATGCAGAATATGTTTTGAAATATTCTACGTCAATTACATTTTGTATAATTAGACAAGGAAAATGTTAACTCAGGTTTTATTAATTCAATCTCACTTGCGAATACTGCAATATTATTTTTGAATCACACTGTAGACTGCTCAGGGAATTATCGTTCCCTGGTCACGAAAATCCGGCGAAAATTTATGTTATATGGAACGAACTAGCGGAAAGAAAGGAGCAGCTGATATCTAAGGATACATACATGCACAGAATCACGCGAACGTGCCATTAAAGGCATATTTTGTCGTCGGCTCGAGTCGCCATGAGAATTTAAATCAGACCCTCCGCACCAAGCTTTCGCAATTGTGGGGCAGCACACGTGTCTCCCTTTTCTATTTCACAGTTTCATATTTCACGTTCAATCGACTTGATACGTGATGCGTGTGAGAGGGAGAAAAATTTGAAAGAAATTATTTAGATTTATTGAATACTTGGTCACTTGCTTTAAATAACCTAACCAATATCACGATCCTAATTTAAGAATAAGTATTTCCGGTATAGCTATTTTCTAGTTCTTTTTTAAATTCTATTTTTATAATCTTGGTATTAATATAATCCTGACATCATAGAATATTTGATAAAATTTTTTTCCTTGTAAATAATATACAATTGATTATATTCATTATGATTACAATCAAGTTCGTTCTTGATCATGTTACCTTTTATTATTTCACAAGCCATGAATCATGAGAACATGAGTGCTAAAACTCCCTATAGTTTTGCACTCGTATTTCCAATACCTTCGACGATGCTGCCCTCTAGTGACGCCCAGGCGTAGCTCACTTTTGACGTCACAGGAAGGTGACATACTTCTTCCAAATAGATTTCCTAATTTGTTTTATACCCTATTACATTTTTAAATAAATTAAATCATGTGATATTTGGTCATCAAATTGATACCGAAAATGATCCTTTCGTATGATTACCTCGAATAACGCTGTGAGTCAGGTAATGAATTCGCCGTGTTAGTAACACCTGTGGGGTATAATTCTCGGACAAGTTGGAGGAGAGGAGATCAGCTTTATTTGGAGTAAAGCTTGGTCCAAGGAAAAGCGCCAGAAGTAGGGATGGAAGTTGGGGAAAGGGGCTGGGTAGATAAAAGTGCTCTTACCGTAGCCCCGTCGCTTTCGTCTGTGAAGTTTCCTTGCTGAAGAGATATTGAGTTCGTCTGGTTACTGGTGCCCGGCGGGCGGCTGCTTTTGCCTAGAAATTTCCCAGTGGCTCCGGACTGTTTCGAGTCCTCCTTGCCTCCGCTACGGAACACTACGTAGGCCTACATTGAACAAAAAAGTTCCAATATTTCTAATACTCCGATTTCTCGAAGCATTTATAAAAATGGCGAAGCTCCGACGAGCGATCGCAGCGCCATTCGGATTACCCGACGTGTTTCACACGAGTTTCCCTATAGCTGGTATCCTAACACTATCAAAAATGAAGTTTAGAATGAACATTATAAAACAAATTTATTTTACAGTAGGAAAATCCCTATTTATCTTGAAATCCCCGTATGCAGTGATGTCCGTTTAAATGTCCACTGGTTAACCTCAACATTTTCTACAATTTCTTGCACGAGTCAAATCTCGACATATAAATGAAGGATGCGAGAAAATACGAGGGATATACAACTCTCACTCTTGCTTATTTACATACAGCAACGTGAACTGCAGCCAGCTTTTCTTGCAATAACCATCTCCGCATAAATGAGCTCAGGCCGCGCTATTTAAGCGGATACCATGTATTTCACATATCCAACACAGCTCTTTTCAGAAATATCACTTTTATTTAGTAAAATTACGTACAACTACTTAAACCGACTTATTTTCCTAGCTCTACATTGGTCCATGAACATCTTAATGCTACTGTGATACGGTAGTAATTATCTAGTGATATTTTAGGGATATTTTCCATGGTGGCGAAATCGAATTAAAGGTTAGTTTTTGATACAGTGGTTTCCATTGGTTCGGACTGACGTTAAACAGAAAATTGCAGAACAAGGTATTAACATAATGACGAATGAGATATAGCGTCGATTTTTCTTCACGTAAATGTTTCCAGTCTAAATAAAATGGCGTTCGACGTCATGTAAATATGCAAGGGCTACGTTGTACTGATACTAAAGGACTACACTTTGAAAGAGAATGTCGCTAAACGGCATGAATATTGAATTTGCTTGGACGTACTCCCGATGTTGCATAACTCCATAGTCTTGCCTAACGCATTCATCTGTCGAATCAATGGCGGCCGGGAATATTAGGTTAGAGGAGCGAAGGGAATTATGAGAAACTGCTTTTGTCCTGCGTTAACGGTATTTGTAGAGGTTTACAATCGTCTCCCGCGAACAAGGAATATTGCCGCTCGTTAGTCCGCTAATTAGTTTGGCTGATGCGATTAATAAGAAATAAACGAGGCATATAACCTCTAACAAATAACAAATAATATCGATATAATGAAATTTATCCACGGCATACTTTTTTCATCGTGAAGCCAAACAACTATATTCAACTACGTATTACTTGTAACACTAATTATTTGTAAATAATTAAAACGCATAATTTAAAAAAGAGTATATATATGTATTTAATAAAAAAAAGAAAAATCGAATATCATTTTCCAATTTAAGGTAATCCCATTAACATAGAATATATGTAGCGGAGTATTTTTTTCATCATCTCTAATTATGAAACACAAGGTGCTTTATATTACTAAATAAAACTACCAACAATTTTGAATTTTAAGAAGTTTTAGAGAAGAAGGAAGCTTGAGGGTTCGTGATTTTTCATCCTGACTATGGCTGGAAATAAATTAGATTACGGCTGTTCGTACAAAACTATGTAAAAAATTTGAAGAGCATCAGTCGTTGCCTTCAAATGATCGACATCCATGCTGTGAGATAAATAAATTTCAATAACTCGCCAAAGGCTTTAGAATTCACGATCCAGCCATCGTCGTTTGTCACGCGCGCAGACCGCATAAACGCGGTGAAAATACAAGAATCGATTCACTCTTACCTTGCTGCCGAATATGAGGCACAACAGCAACGTGACCGTGAGCTGGGTGTGACAAAAAAATATCACGTACAGTAAATCCGGATTGGCTGGCGACTGCAAGAACAACCTGCAAACAGAAAGATTGCGCCCTCTGTGAATGTCTACATAAAGTATAGTTTCTTTCAATGACATGTCAGCGTGTTCTTGGTGACAGGTTATAAAAACATTTTACCTTTGATGTGTGTTATTTGAACTCTTGTTTTTTGATAGCAGTGAGATTACTCGATGGTTAACCTATATTTATTCAAAATTTACAAAGTGATCTTAAACAAGGTTCTGAAGAACTTAACATCATGGGATATTAAAAAAGTTTATTAATCTTACACTTGATTGCAGATTTGCTGTTTAGACATCAGATAGATGTGTTTGGTAGCAGTAGATATTAAAGAAGTTTAGTGATTGCTGATAGGGGTATGGTATTATGATGGTTAACCTATACCTATTCAAGATTTATAAATTGATTTCAAAGAAGTTTCTGAAAGATTTAATAACATTGGTTGTTAAAGAAGTGTATTAGTTGCTCTTTGATAGTACTATGATAGCATAATGGCAAAGTTACACGTGTTCAAGGTTCACAAAGATTAATCTTGGTGAAAGGTTTAGCGTCACAAAGTAGTTTATCAATTTAGCACTTGATTACTGGTCTACTTTCTACATTTCAAGTATATAGTGGTTTAAACTTACTGTAATTTTCTTAATTCTACTTGTAATTCGCACCATTATTTCCTTGTTATGGGAACTTAATTCTGTTGAAAACATAAGTTAAGATCAGTACCATAGACTTAGCCTTAGACTCCTGAATAATCTATGCTGTCATCTGCACAGAATTGGCAGAGATCAGTTTCCTTATCTGGTTAGATGTGCAAATGTAGGATGCTACCAAGGGGACTGTAACGAAGAAGGAATCTTTAGTCCATTAATCTTGGTACCCTTACTGTCCTTCCTGCATACATACATATCTAATCTGGGTACAATACGTTGAGCTAAATTTAGGTTAGGTTAAGTTTCCTGGAATAGATCCCTGACATCTTAATCACTATCATCCAAGCAGAATCCAAACTTCAAATGTTCTACTGTTCCAATATCAAAAATTGTCACTTTTATATCTGTTTCACGACACCACCTGTGAAGTTACTAGCTGTTAATACCGAGAAAGAAATGTTTCAAGGGACCAGGCTGGTTTATTGCTTTCTAACAAGTTGCGTAGGGCAATATAGGAAGACCGGTAACTCTCGTTGTTTGAAAGTTTCGCAACCACCATATGGGTTTTCCTCGGATCTGGCCCGCGGTTATATTACTTCACTGGAGCTCTGCGTCGACTTCACGGCTTCGCGTGTCTCGGCATGATTATGCGCATAATTAAACGCTAAATGAAAACACCTTCAATAGAGAAAGCATGTATCTCGTCATCCTTTACCTTGTAACGCTTTCGATAAAGACTGAGAGCCATTTGACAAAAACAGAGTGCTGCTTAATGACTTTTTTTATGGTGACTTCGGCAATAGAACTGTCGAATAGTCGATGGCAGTTAAACTGTACTTAAATCTTTGTTATATTTAAGTATATATCATAGGAAATTAAGATATCATGGCTATTTAGGAAAGTAACTATAGTTAATGCTGTATTGGAGAATTTTAGGTTATCAAATTATTTCGGATAATTTGAATTGCTTTTGCTACGTGATATTTTAAAGTTACATAGAGTTTTAGAATTATCCAAAGCGAAAAAAATTACTAGATACATAATAAGACAAAAATAATAGGACTGATAATAAAAGTTACTAAATAAAATATAAGATCGTTGAAAAAAATTATTCTGATTACGATTCGATATGGGATTATTTCAGGATTGCTCAGATATTATATAGAATTTTAACATTATTTAAAATTTGACATGATTTTGGGATTATCTAGGGTAGCAAAAAATTACTAGATACTTGATAATTACTGGAATTACTAGGTAATACGTATTACTAGATAATTACTGGAGTTACTAGACCATAAAAATTACTGGATAATTATTAGAATTACTAAATGATAAGAATTACTAGATAATTGCTAGAATTACTAGATGATAAGAATCACGAAAAAATTACCAGATTGAAGGAATCGACCGCACTAATCGTCAAATAACTGCGAGTCAGAAGAGACAAAATGGAGATCCTTCATCTAAAATGTAGGTATAATTGAAGCTTAATAACTGAAATGATTCGATACGATTTTGAAAAGAGAGTCTCTGAAGCGCTTCTCCGGTGAAATTATTTACGCGGAACATGTGCAGTTGTACCGAGATATAATAGCTTCCGGTGTTCTGCTCCAGTTCGCAGCGAACACGGCCGAGTATCAGCGGAATACATTATTAAAATTAACGATTCGAGGGTGGTCGGTTTGCAGCGTTTCGTGGATCCGTTCGACGTATTAAATTCGACGTTTCGCGATGACGTGCCCACCTATTCATTCACACCGTCCGCCATTAACACGTTTGATGGAAAATTATTCGGATTACACGTTGGGGTTTGAAATATATATACATATATAAATAGGAAAGTCGCGATAGTATGAAAAGCTCATGGAAATACCGAAAATCAGTACGTGAGTAAATCGATTGAAAAGCGAAACACGAAATTCCTTTATAGTGCATTTTAGCCTATAACATACTTCCCTATTTTTCTTCTATTTTTATTCGTTTATTTATTCCCTTATTTTACTTTATCTTCCTTTCCTATATTTCTTATTTTTTGGAAAATAGGGAAGTCAAGAGAACGAATTTCCTTTCTAGGAAATTCTCATTGCACTGCTGGTATTACGAGACGAGGTACAAAGGGTATACTGGGGAGAAAGTAATTCTAGGGACCTGAGTGGCTCATAATGACGCCGTTTTACTCCATACAATCGCAGATTTTTCGATCCAGTTTGTTAGAGTTAGTAACTACCACGGATCTTTAAGCACACTTTCAATGCGCCGCTTTTAACTGCACCGTCTAAGCTTTTGAATTTACTCTGTTGACTTTCCAGATAAATTAGTTGAATATGCCGTGTCGCCAAAAAGGATCTTTAAACAAAGGATATCCCTCTTTACTACCGACAAAGAAGAAACTTGTGTTAGATCGTTTTGTATTCTTTCTTGACACCACTCCAAGATTCTAACATTTTCGTTTCTTTGTGTAGATTTATGGGTATAGGTATGAAAGGTGAAATGATCGTGTTCCTTTTACATTTACATCTTCGGATACTTACATAGAGACGTTGAGGAAGACTGAAAGTAGAAATTCGTTGTAAATCGCCATCGAGATGAATCGACTCTCGTTAAATTCCGACGGTGTCTTTCTCACCACGATGCACAGCCTGATGCCCCACATGAGGAACATAACCTCAACTGGAACAAAGTAAAAATTTTCTTTGTTATTATTGTCAGAGTAAAATTCGATTTCACCAATGGTTTCAATTAATGAGGAGTAGGAGATGATTCAAATCATTATTGACCTCTGCAATGTGAACATTATATACACATTACATATATAGAGTCAAAGGAGGGCATAAAAATACTCACACAAAGTCACTGATTATTTAAATAAATAATAATGACATGTATTTAGTATTTAGCATTTAGTATTTAGTATTTAGATATAAAAGATGAGCCTTCGCCGGTTATAAATCGAACGCTAACAATTTTTAACGACTCTTGAACTAATGACGTGTCTCTTGTCTTTCGACGACATGGGTTTTATACTCATTGTGAGCCAAACGAAGAGAGCTCTCGCGATTGGTAGCTGATGGGACCAAGAGTATGTCCTTCCGTGAATAGGAGACCTCCAAAGGAAGAAGGAACTTCCAAGGTCGATGGTGAAGGAAACCCCTTCATCAGGGTGAGACCCTTAGAGTGTCTCTTCCCGAGAGGTGACCGCGGCTGTGTCATCCTCGGTTTAGGAAGGTCAGTTTAGGAAAGTCGGGGTCATTCGAAACCAATGCAATGGCCAGGACTCCTCCAACCCATTGCCAGCCAAGTTCTAAGTGCTGGAGTCCAGTTTCCCTAAATTAGGCTTCTCAATGGCTCCTCATACCCGGTGACCCGAGGTAATAACGAAGTTTAGCAATAATACACAATAATCAAATAAATATAGAAACTCATGAACTGAACATTGAATACTAAGCATTTAGGATTTGGCTGTTAGAAGATAGCAACGGGTCTTCTAGAACTACTCTTTATTACCATCTAAAAGTTAGATACTATTATTCTTAAATGCCGAAAATATTTCACTCGTGTGTAAGACGAGGAGAGGAGATGGCTGGATTAACACGTTAAACACCACGCCGATTTTACGTGCCGTTCCGTTCACGCCACAGTTAGCCCTGTTCATGCGGGCCCTTTTGGGCCCTAAGGACTGCCGAGGTCTGAACGGAAAGTCTAGCGCCGGTCCCTATGAATCGGCGTAGCGTTTAACGTGTTACCTAGAACCACTAGAAAGACGTGCCACGCACGTCGAGATGCTTTCGTTTCAAAACCGCCAGCGACGTGTACACCACGTCGATAGGCATTCATCGCAGAAATAAAAATGACGTGGGCTGCACGTCGACTAATAACCAGATCGTTCATTTCTCGAGCTACAGTTCCAAAGTGCATGGCTTCGCATAGTGTCATCGATATTTTGAAAATATTTCAGAATCTTTACAGCATCTCGCGGCGTCAATGTGACACCTTACGGCGTATTACACTGTAGCGCACGGCACCGCAACTGTGAATTTATTGGTAGCACAAGTGGTTAAATAATATTAATTCTCGATAGCTGATCGAATTTTACTCTCCTACAGTATTCTCTCGTCTTTCGTATGAAACTGCCCCGTTCGTTTCCTGGTTTGCTCTTTTTAAAGGTGGGCCTCCTTTGTCTATTCTCGGATCAAACGGATCGTTGTTTCGTTTGGGATTCCAATTATCGCAGCTACGTGTTCCTCAATCACGCTGTCTTATCGATAACCGGAGCTCGCTTACTTTTGCACGTATACGAATTTGATAAAATGGTATCGCTGTGTGGCTTCAACGGTTGCCACCTTACGTAACAGAGTATTGATATCCGTGAAAAATAGAACAGGGAAAAGAAAGAAATTGGCTGGGTTCGTAACCCCCTGAAAAGAATTGCTCTACTATAGCAGCACTATCAGATTGCTCTCGGTGGATTGTATGTGACACGGCCATGATATTGCGTAGTCTGAAGGATAAAGAAATCCGAGACCGCTATTTTCCGCGGTTAATTCGCAAACGTGAAATTTCCTACTCGTTTGATGCTTAATCTTAGGGGAAATAATAGAGACTGTTCTTTGACGAGATTATCAGAGACATCTCCCTAATAACACAATTTAATTTACCTCAGTTGCCTATATTTCTTGGAAATACTGCTGACAAGTTCGAAATTTGTTCTATATTTTAAAATTCTTTAATTTCTTAATTCCTGAATTCCTAAATTTCTAGATCGTTTGCTTTCTAACTTTCTAACTTCTGAATTTTCAAATTTCTATATTATTAAATTACTGAATTATTAAATTTCTTAACTTCTAAATTTTCAGATTGTCACATTTCGTAATTTAAAATAATTTTTTAATTAAGAAACGTTTATTCCCGGAATTATTCGTTTTTATTTCATAATAAACTAATTTTCGAATGCTTCGATTTCCACATATTGGAAATTTTATACGTCTGTAGAGATTGCAGATTTTATAATTGATATATGTAAAAGAAAAAGTATTATTAATTTTAATTATGGAATTGTAACATTTTTTGTAATAAAATTGATAGAAATCCATGCTAGCATTAAAATTGCCTTTAAATCTCATGTCACGTTTTATGCAGTTTACCTCTCGTTATTTTCTCCAATCACGGAGGTACATGAAAGCATCGTTGAATAAACTATTCTTCGTTAAATAAAACGATCCGATCGAAAAAGGTTTTCTATTTAGTCGCGATTGTTCGAAATCGTCCATAACTGCGAGTTCATTTATAATTGTACGACTTGTTACTTGCTTTGATTCAGATTCCATTAAAAGGGAACGCATGGTAAACATATCTTTGTCGAATAAAAATTGCAATTCAAACGAGACGTTCCGATGTTTATGCAAATTAATTTAAAATCACGTTTACCACTCTATAACAGGGAACACTTGTATGCAATTTTACATTTTAATTTATCAAACGCGACAATAGAAACGTCTCGTATTCACCGTATAAGAATAACGCCACAAAGAAAAAAGGGAACAAAACCAACTAGTGCCTTCTTTGAGCTTTATTCGCTACCAATTTTCATCGAAATAATATAACCTACATCCATTCATTCAGTCTCCTCGATGATTCTTAATATAAAATTTGTAATATAAATAATTCTCAGCAATTAATTAAATAACTAATTAATTAAATTTCTCTTTATATCAAAAAGTTTTTTTTTTCATTTTTAAAAGAAATTTTTTAATTTTCCTCGATAGAAATGTAGTTTACGTTATTTAGATAAATTTTTATCTTCTCCATCATCTAGTCTTTTCGATGATTCTTAATATAAAATTTGTAATATAAATAATTCTCAGCAATTAATTAAATAACTAATTAATTAAATTTCTTTTTATACCAAGAAGCTTTTTTTCATTTCTAAAAGAAATTTTTTAATTTTCCTCGATAGAAATGTAGTTTACGTTATTTAGATAAATTTGTATCTTCTCGATAAAAATTCTAAAGTCTTAAATTATCGTTTACTAATTTGCGAATAAAACGCGATCGAGTAACATGAATGCAGGTTTCCAGTTCGTACTAGGATTATGAACGTTGTTAGATATTCTTCGCCCAAAATTCCCTAGGGAGTATTCTAACACCTGTCATCTGCAATCCAACCATGTTATTCTACGCACGTTTAGCCCAGACCCAAAAGGAGGAAGAAGGTTATGAATGGAGCAGTGACAGCAGGCAACAGGGGCAGAAACAGCCTCAGAAAAGGTTGTTTTTCCTCATCAAGAAAGTTCTCGCGCTAATGCGTCTACGAAAAATGCGCTGGCCTGGAAAGACGAAAAAGCTTGGCAACTTTTAGAGAGGCTAAACACGGAAATAGCTATGTGCAGGAACCATATCGAAGCCAGATGTGCTGCTTACATTAAGAACATTGAATTAGACTGAGTTTTCGAAGCGACGCAACGTATCAAAGAAGGAATTTTTAAAAATTGACTAGAATATTAGGTACCTGCATATCCATCTTTTTTATCATATGCTGGATAGTTAGGTGTTTAAAACAACTGAAAGGTGTTTTTATGACAAAGGAGATGATGAGATAAACGCGTGAATATGAGGATCAAAGATAATATTTTCGAGGCTTTTATCAAAATGAATCTATATATCACTGTGATATTTTCTAAATATTCAAATAGATATGCAATACAATTATAAATTAATATATATTATTTCAGTCTAATTTATTATTAGAAAACAGAATTATAATATATTTACTAATAAACGCCGTCGAAAATTGCCAACCTAACCTCAAAATAGCACCAACTGATTATGCAGGACGTGTAATTTCTCTTCTCAAAAAATTACTAAATTACTTGAAAATAAAAATGAAGCTCGAATATATATGATAAGAACAACACACACACATATGTGTACATATATTTAAACGTATATCACTTATTATGATTACTACTTTTGCCGCGTGAGAGCAGTCACTGCAAAGTATCCGCGCAGGTTATAAGCGGTGCTTTTTTCCTCGTCGATATGGCGGCACTCTCTTTCATACACGGTTTTGTTTATTCTGTTTTATTATTTACTCCCGAGCGTTAAAAAAAAAAAAAGGAAAAAAAATACCGTGGATTTTTGACTACGAATGTTTGCACTCTTGATGTACAGAGTAACGCGGGCAAAGGCAGCATTTCCATGGCAGTCTATTTCCTTTGACTGGGACTAGGTATTTAACAATCTTCTATTGCTCGCTGAAGTTTCAACGAGATAAACAACGTCACATTTTTTGTTTCGTTACCCTCCATTGATTGAAATATGAAATTCAGTGAAATAATACATTCAGATTGTTACATCAAATTTACAAAAAAATATGTTCTCCCTGTTTTACTTAAAGCTACATATAATTCTAGTAATAAGAATGTGATAGTCCACAAGAATCCTAATGTCGAACCTAACCTCTCATATCCGAAAATCATCAACATCCTGTCCAGTTCTCATGCCATATCCAAAGAACCAGTTATATTATAATAAATAACTAACTTTTCCTTCATAAACATCACATTATATTTATATTGTACAATTATAGGACAAATGAGTTTCACTCATTCAACTTCACTCACGCTCACACACACAAAACCACACTCACAGGTATTCACTCTATGTTCAACGTA